TTTTCCTCCCTCACCCCTATATGTATATACACACACACACACACACACGGCTTTACTTATGAATAATGGGCTCTTAGAAGTAGCTAAGTAATGTTTACATGGGGGCCTATCTTTTACTGTCTTTCTTCCATTTCAGTAAGAATCTGAATGCTACCTTCCCTCGTGTATTAAATGTACCTTTATTGCAAGAGAAGACACTGAGCTGTTCACTTCAATATTGAGAGGCAACTTGGAATCTCCAACATGACTCCATAGGACAAAGGATGCAATATGCTACTTTGTGGAAATCTGAGAAGCAGGAATGGAATTTAATATCTCAACCTTTAAAAAAACTAATTTGCAATTTTAAATAAAATAGCATGATACCTTTTTATGTTCACTTTTTGCAAATGGAGCTGCCCCTGCTTTTAACTTTCTGGAGTCTTATTTGCGAATAAAGTTTGTACTATTACATGGCTGCTTCTAATTACTGAAGGGCTGACTTGTAGGTAATTTTAAGCTTCCATGCTTATTATAAATAGGTTTTTAAGGTTATTATAAATAGGTTAAGTTCCTCAGTTGCTGATTCATGCCCTTAGGTAAGGTTCAGTCATGGTTGGACCTGGTAATTGTGCATAATCATTCATTTATTCCACAAACGTTGCCATGGAGTTCGCATTTTTAGTAGGAGACAGTATAAACAAAGTGTATTCTAGGAAAGAGCAAATGTTCCTGCAGGAACATAAGGCAGAGAAGGGACATTGGGAATCCTTGGGTGAGGGTTGTGGTTCTAAATACAGCATCATGAAGGCCACCCCACCCTGGAAGGTGGTGATTGAGCAAAGACCGGGAGGAAGTGAGGGATGAGCTGTGCAGACCCTGGAGGGAAGGTCAGTTGAGACTATGGAAACAGCAGGTATAAAGTCCCTGCAGGGACAGTATGCCAGAGTGTTCGCAGAGTGAGAAGGTCAGCGTGGTTGGAAAGTCATAATGAGATTTAAGAAAAAAATCATAAAAAACTTAAAACAATGGGAGTGGAGTAGGAGTAGATAATCTAGTTTCTCAAAATTGATTGACAACCTTGGTTTTTATTTGAAATAAAATAGGAAGCTACTGGAAAGTTCCAAAGGGAGGAGTGCCATGATCTGACTTGGATTTTTTCCAGATCACCTGCTGCTGTGGGGAGAACAGACACAGAGGGAGCAAGGGCTGAAGTAGGGAGATGGATTAGCATCAGTCCCCAAACTTTTTGGCACCAGGGACTGTTTTCATGGAAGACAATTTTTTTCATGGATCAGGGAGGGAAGAGGGGATGGTTTCAGGATGATTCAAGTGCATTACATTTATAGTGCATTTTTTCCCTATTATTACATTGTAATATGTAATGAAATGATTGTACAACTTGCTATAGGTTGGGGACCCCTGGGTTAGGTAATGATGACTGTTAGCCCGGCGGTCCTCATCCAGGGGCAATTTTACCTTCCAGGGAACATATCTGGAGACAGTTTTGTCACAATGGAGGCATTAGTGTGCTGTTAATACTGACATCCAGTGGGTAAGATGCTGCTAAACATCTGTGCACAAGGCAGCCACTGACAGGGTTATCTGGCCCAGATGTTGGTGCTGAGGTTGAGAACTCAGAGTTAGTTGGAGCAGTGAAATTCACAGGAAGTGGTCAGATCTGTCTATCTGAGGAGGATTTGCAGACAGAAACAAGGTATGAGAAAGAGGAATCCAGGAGAGTTTATGATCGGTGAGTTACTGTAAAGTGGGAGAGGTCATTAACTTAGAACGAAAAATATGGAAGATGTCGGCTCAAGAACTCTATTTGAAAGTGTCATGTTTAAGACGGGCTCATTAGATCTCCAAGAAGAGACAGCAAGTGAGTAATTGAATATATAGACCGTGAGTTCAAAAGGGGAAGGTTCAGGCTGGATGTAGAAAATTTGGATTTATCAGTAAAAAGTTAAGCTGATAAGATTGCATGAATTCAAAGCAAATAAATGAAGATAATTGGTCCAAGCCTTGAGTCTTGGGATATTCAATGTTAAGAAGTAGCTGAGAGGAGGCAGCACCTTTAAATGAGCCAAAGAGAAGTCAGTAAGGTAGACTGGAAGTAAAACCAGGGTAGAGTGGGATCCTGAAAGCCACATAGGTGGAGCTGTTGACCACACCGACTGTTGCTGAAGGGTTAAGTAGGGTGAGAACTAAGAATTAACCATTAGATCTAGCAACATGGGGGGCAATGATGACTTTTATAAAGGGAGTTTTGGTAGAGAGATATGGGTGGAAAGTCTGTTGATTCAGGTTTAAGAGAAGATAAGAAGAAAGAGACCCAAAAGAGAATTAATGGCTTTTCTAGGGGCATAGCTATAAAGAGAAAAATAAAAATGGGATAGTTATAGGGGAAAGTGAAGATAGAAACTAGTGTAGAAGATAAATACTTGCACATGGTAATAGTTTTCTATAGGTTACCACGAATTTCTGAATACTTTTCAACTAAAGAGATCCTAGTGTTCGTAAAAGGATTCAATAAGAAATTTTGGTTTCTGAGTTATATCCTTAAGCATAAATAACAACTGCTTGCATTACTGTTACATAATAGTAAAATGCCCCAAACATTTATAATAACCACTACAACTATTTATAGTAAATTATCAAAATGCAACCTCCCCCCACTAGTATACAGCTGGAGGGAATAAGATGGATTGCTGAAATGCTGAATATGAAAAGGGTGGGTTGAAGGTTAAGGCATATCAGTAAGTCAGGTGGGGTCTCTTTGTGCTGCCCAAATGACTCCACAATGATTGAAATCCTAAAATTAAAAAAATCATGGTGTGAGATTAATATGTATTTTCTTTTGTCATTTCCATAGACCTAAAGAAGAAACAGATCTCTGGGCACAACTAGTTTTCATGTTTACTTTATCTACTCTCCTGAATTTTAGAACACAGGTGATCAGTGAAAGATAGGATTTGAGGAACTTGGGCCGGGTATGTGGTAAGGCCCAAGGAGCTGTGCATATGCAACACCTGAGTTCGTCGTGAGCTATAAAGTCACATGAGGCAGCCCAGCTTCACTTTATTGTCTGCATCCTGAGAATCGCTGCCTTGGGTCTGGTATCATGAAGTTGGCTTTAGTTTTTCTCTTTGTTGCTATGACTTCGTTTGAGTATGGAGCACCACTAGGTACAAAACATAAATTTGAAAAATTTGCTCAAAGAGATAGCTTTCGTTGTCATTTAGACACATTGCTATGCTCAATATGTATGATGAATTAACTGTGCTTTTATTTGTTTTTTTCTGATTCTTATAGTTTGGGTTGAATACTAAAACTTTGAGTAAGGAGTAACTAAGGATTTTCTGATCCTAGACTCAGGGCCAAATAAGTGTTACTCTCTTATTTCCTTTTTGTCAACTAACATACTGAGTTCGAATTGACGTTCTTTTTGCTTTTCTGAAATACTCTAAATATCAGGTGTCTTGTTCTGCCCCCCAGCCTACCTCTTCTCTTTTGCCATGTGCCTCTTCCACATTTGAACTGTCATGCCAGAACAACTTTTAAGAAATCTCTCACTAGTTTCTGCAGACTTGGTCACCTAATTCTCTTCCATCTTCTGCAGGAACATTTTACACTGACTGAAACTGGGTTTTCCATCTTTACCTCCTTGTCCTCTTGCACAAAGAGATCAGGAAATGAGTAGTCAGCTTTGGCTGTGAGCAAGTCAACTGGGAATAATTGCCAGATGATACTCATTTTCCATGTAACCTTTGGAAATTGAGTGACATCTAGCTAAATCTCAGGGATGCAAGGAGATGTCAGGTCTCAATGCCTGCCTTGTTGACAGGTTTGTCTGCAAAGTGGGTTTGGAAGACAGGACTCTTGAGGTAATTGTCTTGAGATATTTTGGAATAAATCAATATGACTAAGTTTGAAATAACCCATCTAGACTTCAGTGTTATTAGTTATATCTAGCAGAACTTCATTAGCAGTTATTTGAGCTTCAATTTTTTTTAACAAAATTTTTGTTGTTACTATTTTCTGTTTGTCAGTGCAGTGGGTGTGATTCATGAGCAAGATGAGGTTGGAGGCTTTTTGGAATTAAGAGATACCTGGCTCAGGCATGCCACATACAGTTTCAAGTATAATGCAGGCTGGACAGGGTGGCTCATGCCTATAATCTCAGCACTTTAGGAGGCCAGGAGTTGAGGACCAGCCTGAACAACATAGCAAGACTCTGTCTCTAACCAACCCCCACAAAAGAAAAAGTATAATGTGAATATGGTTGCGTGGACTTGAATCTTCAAAGGCCAAGCCTCTAAGACCAAGTGTTGTTGAAAGTGTGCGATCATTAAAATGCACAAACTCTTAGGAATAAGAAAGCCACAGCCTTAGTTGTAGACCTGGAGTAAGTTCCTAGGAGCACAGTGAATACAAGTTCTTTGTGCCTCACAGTCAGAAATGGTAATGTGAGGAAGCGAGCGATAAGATATGTTTAAAACACGAGGCAGGTTCTAGAAGTTTATTTAAATATTTTCCGTAGATCTAATGGTTTTAAAGTATTAATTGAAAAAGGCTGGCCACAGGCTGGGAGAGTCTTAGTTTTGTGGCTAATTTGGGTCCTACAGAGATAGATATGTGTGTGGGAGGAAAAAAAGCCAGCCAGTGGTAATTGCAGTTAGTTCTTAGCCTTCTCAGGTGTAGAAATTTTAATTACTTTAAATTTATAGGAATTTGATCCCCAACTCCATTGTAAGACTTATACCTAAGAACTGACATTTTAAAAAGTGGAGGTTTCTTTAGAAATCACTTACTTTTAATATTAAACATTTTAACTTAAATATACATAGGAAAGTACGTAAAGTATTGCTCAATAAATTACTTTAAATTGAACACTTAAATAACTGAACACCCAGGTTAAAAACATGACCAGCGCCCCAGAAGGCCTTTTGTAAAGCTGCTTTCCAAATACAACGCCTGCCAATTCCCCTTCCCCCTCAAATTTAACCACCACCTTGAACTTTACGGTAATTGTTTCTTGTTCTCTTTCATACTTTTGCCATCTAAGTATGCATTCCTAAGCTTTACCTGTTAGTTTTGGTTTTCATCCTCATAAATAGGATTTTGTGTTTTGGCTTCTTTCCCTTAACATGAATTTTATGAGATTCCTCTGTGTTGCAGTTTTTTTGTGTTTTATAGTATTCTATTGTATAGAGATAATGCAAGTTGTTACTAATTTGTGCACACTTGGGTTATGAGCACTATTGTACCTATTTTTAGTGTGTACACATACATAGTTTTGATGTGTGTGTACCTAGAGGTTGGGGTACAGGGCATGTTTGACTTTTAGACACTACGAGGCAGTTTTCTAAAAGGGTTTGGACAAAGCTTATGAAAGCTCCATCAGGTTGCTTCACATCTTGGCCAGACTTGATGTTGTCAGCAATTTCCATTATAGCCACTTTAGTGAGTATGTTGTAGTATTTCATGGTGGTCTTAATTTGTGTTTTCTTGTTGAAAAGAGAACTTACTCACCTTTTTGTAAGTTTATTGGCCATTTAAAAATTTTTAGGAAAGTGCCTGTACCAGTCTTATTTTTCTACTGAGTTGACTTTTGCTTAGGAATTTTTAGAATTTTTTATATATTCTGGATGTGAATCAGTTGTTTGTGTTACAAATATTTTCTGACACTCTATTGCTTAATTTTTTACTTTCTTTGTGGTCTCTTCATGATCCAAAGCTCTTAATGTTCCTATATCTCATTCTGTCAATCTTTTCCTTTACTGTTAGAATCCTGTTAAGGAATTTTATGTGATCCTGGCAGAAGAAAATCTCATTTTATACCAGCTCTGTTTTGCTATTAACACTCAGCTTTGTTTTGTACTTGGTATTTATTTTTGTGCATAGTATAAATAGTGAATCAAGTTGCTTTTATATGAATATCAAATTGTCTCAACCCTTGATACTACAAAATATGTCTTGCCTTTTCTGCCCTATAATGCCATCATTATAAAAATCAAGTGGCCATAAATTCTATACTGTTGATATGTTAGTTTATCCTTGTATCCTGGCTTAATTACAGTGTCTTTATTATTGTTCTTGATATCTAGTGCTCCATTTTAAATAACTGGGTGAACAGTTTTAGATTCTACAGATACCAAATATAACATGAGTTAGTAGAATGTTAAAAACATTTTTTATTACAGGATATTCAAATTAAGCTAAGAAATTGCTTGGCTAACCAATCAATACTCTGGAACTAATTAGGCTAATTAGTTTTTTGTAATCTGATGGGTTAGCAAGTTTGAGGGTTTTTTAAATTGTAAAGATGGAAGCATGATTTTGGAAGTTTGCCCAAATAGTGGTTGTCAGCAAGGGAGTGAAAAAATCCTGGGGATCTTTGTAGCTATGATAATTTTGGGCCATCTGGCTTCTACTGGGTCATGAGAGCCAATAGTACACATTTCTTTGCAATTCTACGTGCTTGTAATTAGTTATGCTGGAAATATGTGCTACAGTTTGAATGTGTCCCTTCAAATTCAGGTGTTGCCCATGTGATAGCATTAACAGGTGGGGCCTTTAAGAGCTCATTAGGCCACAAGGGCTCCTCCCTCATAAAAGAGGTTCCATGCAGCGTTTGGCTGGCTTGCTCCTTTGTTCTCCTCTGTCATGTTAGGACATGTTGTTCTTCCCCTCCAAAGGATGTAGCCCTCACTAGACACTGGAACCACCAGCACCTTGATCTTGGACTTCTCAGCACTAAGAACTGTGAGAAAATTCATTTTTCTTCTTTATAAATTACCCAGTCTCAGATATTCTGTTATAGCAGCACAAATGGACTAAGACCCCATAGAAATTGGAAAACACTGCATTTTTATGCATTCCATCCCAAGGAGTGAGTTGTAACATTTACTATCACACTATTGAGTAAGGTAGTGGTAGTGTCCACACTAAGCTCATGTAACAAATTTCAAAACATAATGGACTAAAAATAACTTATTTTGATAATAAGTCCAGAGATAGATTGTCCAGGGCATAGACTAGGAAGAGTGATTTATCTTGAAATGAATACCCAGATGTGGCATACATCCCATCACATCAACCAGTCCTAGTTATGTGGCCACAACTAGCTGTAGTGAGAGCTTGGAAATACAGCCTCTAGCTACAGAGCCTCCTAAAACATCAGAGTGTTCCATTATTAAAGGTAATGATGAGTACTTGGGAATATATAGAAGTCTTTGTCATAGGCAATCTCCCTGCCCACACTAATAATGATACACTCCCTTCTATATGTAGAATATATCCTTCCATCCTTAGGGAGGACATAAAGTCCAATGAGTAGTTACTGCAGATAAGTTATAGGCTAGGATCTCTGAAGACTGCGCTATGTTCTCAGTTTGGTCCATTTGTGACTTCTTATATATGGTGACTTATAAACTAAAATATGCCATTTATCCCCCCTAATATATACAATGGTTCAGGAGGAACAGGATTACTTCTACAAAAACTTCCATGGATGAAAATAGAGAGTGTGTTCCCAATAAAATCCTGTAGGGCAGGAATTGCATAGAATCTGTATTGACATCCTGGTAGTAGAATTAAATTTCTTAATGAGACACTGATTATGTTTCCAAAAAGTAAATCCTTTGGCATTGCATTCTGATAGCTCCTAGATGTACCTTTTGGGTGACTGTTCTTTGTCTATTCTGCATGGTCTCATGTGAAGTGGTCACTGGGGATGCCCTCCTCTAAGGGGGTCTGTAAAGTATTCACTGTGTGCATTCTCCTAGTGTAGGTTTGGGGATCTAGAGTTGCACTTGGAATCAAATTATATATATATATAGTTAAAGATAAGACTTGTGGTTTCCATGGCAATATGGTTACCTCAAAATTTGAGTAGGAAAGACTTCACTTTTGGCTATGAGGGAGAAAGTAGCATGTAGCAAACTAATACATAGAAAAAACTAGAAAATCTGGGTAAAATATACATTTACCTGTTTAAAGGCACTGGAGATCTGGCAGCCAGTGGGTGAACCCAATATTTTACAGAATTTTCTCTTAAGGACACTTGAAATTTTTTGGCACTGATGGTGGGAAGGAGATGTGGAGAAACAAGTGGAATGTGAATTATGGGACTGGAGAGAAACTTAGAATTCAAGGCTGTCAAAACAATCAGGATTTGAGGAGCTAAGCTCCATGAGAAGCAAAAAGTACATAGAGGTGAGCCTGATACTTAAAATGTTTTATTCTTGCTGCATTTTCCAAAATCTTAAGCAGTTCAAGTAAAACTATAATAAGCAGAAAAGAGAAGAAAAATCAAGCTAAATGCCCATGGCCACTTCATAACTATTTAGTAGGAAACGAAAAAGTGAAGTTCCAACTGATAACAGGCAGCATTGTTCATTGACTATAGGAAAATATTCCAAGATCAGAAATTCCCCAGAAAAAGCCCACGTGAGTGAGGGGAAATATGAAGAGTCTTAAGCTTCATTAGTTTTACAGTTAATATCAGTACATGCACAGATATGCAGGAAATTGGAGTTAACTGGGTTATGTTTTGACCAGGCAAGTACAGCAAAGTAAGATGACCAAGGGATTGACAAATGGAGGAAGGTATGCTTGACCATAAAGTTCAAGCTGGGCAAACACGAAGAGACAGCAAGATGGGGACTGACAGAATGGAGGATCAAGGACTGAGGCCCAGGAGTTGTTAAAGAATTCTTAGTGTCAGGGTACATAGAGAATAGGCTAGAATTTAGAATAATGGAAGAGAATCGTATATGAAGTCAAAGTTATGGAGATGTTGGATTTCTTGGTGATGACAAGCTATGATCACAAGATATGATCTCAGGGGTAAGTGCCTGATAGAGGTGAAAAACAGGGTTGTGTGTCTTTCTCTTCAAGTTTATATTGACATAATTTTAGACTTACATGAAGTTGCAAATAGTATACAAAATTTCCATATAGTCTTCCCCAAACTTTCTCAAATGTTAACATTTTACTACATTTATTTTCTTGTGTGCATATATATACTTGTATGTGCGCATATGTGTATTTTTTCTCTTGACCATTTGAAATTGAGGACATAATGACCTTTTACTGCAAAATATTTTAGTGTATATTTCCTAAAACCAAGAACATTCTTACCTAACCACAGTGCAATTATCAAAAATAGAACATTATTTTGTTTTTGTTTGTTTATTTATTTAGAGACAGAGTCTCACTTTGTTGCCTGGGCTAGAGTGTCATGGCATCAGCCTAGCTCACAGCAACCTCAAACTCCTGGGCTAAAGCGATCCTCCTGCCTCAGCTTCCTGAGTAGCTGGGACTACAGGCATGTTCCACCATGGCTGGCTAATTTTTTCTATATATTTTTAGTTGGCCAATTAATTTCTTTCTATTTTTAGTAGAGAAGGGGTCTCGCTCTTGCTCAGGCTGGTTTCAAACTCCTGACCTTGAACGATCCTCCCGCCTCAGCCTCCTAGAGTGCTAGGATTACAGGCGTGAGCCACTGCGCCCCACCAAAGCTAGAACATTATTAATGATACAATACTATAATGTGCAGAACTATTCAAGTGTTCTTAGTTGTCACAATTATGGCCTTGATGGCAAAAGGGGGGAAAAAAACTGGTTTAGGATTTAATCCAGGATCATGAACTCATTTAGCTTTCGTGTCCCTTTATAATCTTTGGGTCTAGATCAGCTCTTAACATTTTTTAAGTGTATAGGCCTTAAAAGTTTGTAGAATGTTCCTCAATTTGGGATCGTCTGATATGAGTAGTTCCAAGGCATGCATCTTTGGCTGGAATACTGGGAAGTGATGTTGTGTTCTTACTGCATCATATCGAAAGGCACAAAATATCCATTTGCCCTTTTATGGTGCTCATTCAGTTAGGGTGGTACCTGTCATGTTGTTAAGTTTATATTAAGTTATTTATCAGAGGTGAAAAATATATTTTGTTGGGAGACCATTTAAATATCCTATTTCCTACCACATTTTTCTTATTTTAGCATCCACTAATGATTTTTGCTCCAATTGATTATTAGTGTGGTGACTGTAAATGTTTTTTCCTAATTCAATCGTTCCTTCTATCAGTTGGCATCATTAGGTAAGTTAGAACTCAACCCTTCCCACTCTCCATTCTGTCTGATGTAGCTATATGAATACACGTTTTTTCCTCTGGTTAGTATGTGTGCTGTCCTTTTCTATTGGTTTCCTTGCAAATTTTTCTGTCTTCATGCTTTAAGTGTGACCATTTCCTCCAGAGAGTTTGCTTTTACCTCTACTGTAGTTAGAAAATGTCCTTCAGCTTAGGAACTGCTTCAGCCTCTTGATGCCTCTGACTGAGAGGAGGAGTCCTAGATTGAGCTTCCCGACCTGTGGTTGTGAGTTTCAGTGTTTACACAGGACTTTTGCTAGGGCAATTGGCCAGAGCCACCTTTCTCTTGCTGGCTGGCTTCTTGCTCGGTTTCCTGCTGCTCAGACCCTGGTCCTCTGACCTTGCTGTCTTGCTTCTGATTCTTAGATTTCTCCTAGATCTAAGATACACTTTTTTTTTTCCTGTCCAGGAAGATGTTACAGTTGCCTTTTAAATTCTGAGCTGTTTCCTAGAAAACAAATACATTGTTAAGTTGTTCTCTTTGCATGTTTCAGACATGGCGGTATCCTGTAGTCTCGAGTGGTTTTATGTCAAAGTTAGAGCGCTGACAATTGGCAATTGGTATGTGCTTTCTGATGAGGTGTTTCTTGGACGTGGATGTCCTGTAACTGAAGTGTGGCAGGACTTTTACATATTTTTGTACCCTACAACTGACTGTGACATCCAATATGAGGTAAGAACAATTACTATCTTTCTTAGTTGAGTAATCTAGGAAAACTTTATCAGGCCTAGGAACCAGCTGCCTCTGATGGCCTTGGTAGCAAGGCCAATCTGATTATTTTATTATTATTATTATTATTTGCCCAAGACATGGGGATTCAACATATATAGATAAGTTTCTTGTCAGTCAATGCATTCTACCTCTTAAGGCCCAGGGGGTCCTCAAACTTTTTAAACAGGGGGCTAGTTCAGTGTCCCTCAGACCATTGGAGAATGCACACTGTGGGCCTGGGATGAGTTGGCTGCTAAGCAGGACAGGCAGGGGCGGCAAAAACACCCGACAGGCCAGATAAATGTCCTCGGTGGGCAGCATGTGGCCTGCGGGCTGTAGTTTGAGGACACCTGTAAGCAGACTGAGCTCTGGGATAAGGGTTGGCAAACTTTTCCTGTAAAACGACTCCATAGTACAGTCATGTGTTATTTAATGATGGGGATATGTTCTGAGAAATGCATTGTTAGACAATTTCATCATTGTGTGAACATCAGAGTACTTACACAAACCTAGATGGTATAGCCTACTACACACCTAGGCTATATGGTGGTATAGCCTGATACTCCTAGGCTACCAGCCTGTATATCGCATTATAGTACTGAATACTATAGGCAACTGTCACACAGTGGTACGTATCTGCGTATCTAAACATAGAAAAGGTACAGTAGAAATGTTACGTAAAAGATTGTAAGAAAAGGTACACCTGTATAGGGCAGCTCCGTTATAACCTTATGGTACCACCATCATATATGTGGTCTGTTGTTGACTGAAATGTTACGGGGCGTGTGACTATGTATTTTAGGTGTTGTAGATCATATAATTTCTGTTGCAACTATTCGACTCTGCCCTTGTTCATGAAAGCAGACATATGTAGAGCATCAGCAAATAAGCACGACCACATGTATTTTAATACAATTTATTTGTAATTATTTTACCAAAATAGGCAATGGGCTGGATTTGGCTTGTGGGCTATAGTTTGCTCACCCCAACTCCTGGGGATGCTAAGTTAAATGGAACACAGAACTTGCTCTAAATATGTTGACAGTTCTGTAGGGAATATAGTTTTTATTTATTTGTTTTACTGCAAAACAGCTCATCTAATACTTTTCAATTCAACTTAATTCTTAAAATTGTAGAAGTCCATTTTCTACTAGAGAAAAAAGAAGGGACAACATATGTATCCTTCAAAAAATAGCATCCTTTATCTGATTTACTCTTTCTTTCAGTTTATGGTAAGCTTCTCATGGGTTGGAGAGAGAAAACCATAGTTTACAGGATTCTTATATGATCTTCATATAGGATATTTCAAATATATATTCATACTTGTCCAACTCCAAAGTTCAATTGGGGTGGAAGAATTTTTGTTTTGTTGTTTAAATCAGGCTTTCCACTGTTTTGTTTTTTTAAATATAAAAATGAGGAGTAAAAAATGATTTTTCCCTAAACTAACATTTAATCATCTGGTTTTATCCTGAATAAAATGTAAGAGGAATTGTAGTACTTGATTTCAGAAGTCAAGGATTTTCCTTTTTTTAGACAAAGAACAATAGAGATGCTAGACAAACATTAAACTGAGCCTGTGTTTGAGTAGTCATATCGTGGGAGTTCACTATTTGTTTTTTCTAACACTTTAGAATTAGCATAACTTCTGAGAAGAAAGCACACTAAGTGCATTATGGTTTACATTAGAACAAGATAATATTCATCAACTAAGCAAAGAAAATCTAGTGACCAATACTATATAGAGAATATATCAGCGAATATGGTCAGAAAAGCATTTCATCAACTATTGACTGTCTTTATTAAATCCTAATTGAGACTTATTTTCATTGATTTATTATATGCTAATATCTTTATGAATTTTTTGTTGAATAATATAATGCTGTGAATCTGGCACTGCTCCTTTTTTTTTTTTTTAAAGAGAAGAAATCATGTCTTTTTAGGAAGACGGAGAAATATTTAGGGAATTTAAACCTACATGTAAAATGTAGAATTTTAATTTAAACCTACATGTAAATTAAATGTAAATTAAACCTACATGTAAGAATTTAAACCTACATGTAAAAATGGCTTAATTGCTTTTTAAATAATGGCCTTTGAAGAATTGTTATATTTTTGGAAGCAACAAATTCAGATTCAATTAAAACTTACTAGGGGCTCCTGTATTATATGCATTGTGCCAGGCTTCCTAGATCATCTATTTTTAAAAGTAGACTTTCTAGATGTATATAGATATGCCCTTCTGTCCACTTTCACCTCAATTTGGTCCTTTTAGGGACTTCCCATGCTTTTCTGATTTCTGTAAAAAGTTAAGTATCATAATTGATAAATCTACTTAAAACTTATTTTGTCCCCTCAGATTTTAAAAGGGAAGATCGTTTTTACCTCTGTGGTAACATTTGTTTCAAAAACAACGCCAAGGCGAGCATTCGTGTTTGTCAGGTGTACTATTGAGCAAGACAAACCATCACCACCTCCCACTACATACATCGACCCAAGGTACTTATGTTCAGAGACTATGCAAACATGTCGTCCTGGGAATGTCTCTTTAATGATGATGCTGGTTTCTGTTTTAAAACGTGCCATCATGTTTTCATTGGAACTTCACCTATTTTCCAAATACAGTTTTGAAATTAAGAGATGAAGGGACACTTTCTGGGACATCAATCCCCAACTAGGACTTGATATTTTTCATTCCATAGTCTGTATCATTTAGCAGGACAAAAAAATCTCTGCGAATATGAGATGCCTACCACCCTTAGACAAATGAAAAGATCATTATTTACATATCAATTATTTTAATATACTGTTGATGTCAGGGTCAACCTGGACTTCCATTACTTCCTACATACCATATTTTCTCCATCATCTTATTTTCTATAGCAAAGACTATATGGGCACATTAGTGTTTGCAACTAGATATGCCAGAAGGAAAGTTTTTGAGGATGAATTTTACTAGCTCTCAAGGAAAGTTGTTTTACATGCCTTCAGGATCATAAGATGAAACTTTTAGAGTATTTGGTACTTTGTGCAACCAAGTCTTTTCAATAGGTCTAATTATCTCAACCTCTTTTATACCAATCACTTTTTTAATCAAATTATAACATAATTCGTGTGTCTGGAAAGGTGTTATTGACTCACCTTTTCCATAAAGGTTTTTTGATTTAAATTCTATGCTAAGAATCTATAATCCTTATTGTCGTGTCTGAATGACAGTAATGCATAGTGTCCCTTTCTCTTAAAAAATTGAAAAAAGTCTTGTGCTAAATTGGAATAGCAATAATACTTTAGCCTGTAGTTTAACATTGGGACCCAAACAGATGTCTAAACTCATGTTTAATCTCATCTCTCTTTTTTTTTTTTTTTTCCATTTGTTTTTCTTCCTTTAGGCAGTCCAAATGGCTGGCTTCTGCAGTTTATGAAGAGGAAATTGAGGAGATGTTAAAGTACACAGAACCTCTTTCCAAATTTTAAAACATACTTTTCTTCTCCATCAATATTGATGAAGTCAAGGTATTTTGAATGTCAGTTTCTTTATTGTTCAAGTATTTTCTGTGATAGAAAACAGCAAGTTATTTAGAAATTGCATAAACACCTGTTGATATGGCACATTTGATAACCAGCGTTTGATTCAGAAATGGAAGGTTTGTGCATTACTGTGTTTGCTAGTGAATTGGTCTTCAGGATATTCATGATATTATCTCATGCCGGCACTAGGTGGGGCTTCTTATTAGTTAAGGGATTCTCAGGCACCCTGCAATGTAGAAGTCCCCAACCTTTTTGGCACGCAAGTTTTCTGGGCGGCGAAAGGTAGGAGGTGGACCTCAGGCAGTGATGTGAGAGATGGGGAGTGGCTGTAAACACAGATGAAGCTTCATTCCCTAGCCTGTTGCTCATCTCCTGCTGTGCAGTTGGTCCCTAACAGGCCATGGACTAGTACTAGTTTGGGGACTGCAGATGTAGTAGACAAGGACTGTAATTTCAGAGCTGATGTGAAATACTTGTCAATTTCAACATTCATAGAGTTCTATACAATAACAAGAACTATTATAATGTTAATGTTAAGGCCAAAGGTTATTAAGCAATCAACAGGGATGTGAACTCAGCATTTTCTTAATCAGAGATGAGAATTGTTTCTTACATTTTCCTGAAGGGATTTGATTTTTTATTACTCATGAGACTTTCTTAGCAGTGAAAGGGAAGTTATGAAAACTTCATTATAGGATTAAGACTTTGGGATGTGTTATCAATGAAGGGGGAAAGGAATTTGTTCTAAAGAGATTACTTTTAAAGCTAGAATTTGAAATGAAATCATTTCTAGAAAATTATAAATGTTGCCCCCATATTGATATAGTCCTTAGATGCAAAAAAATGGTCACATACAAAATTTAATCACTTATAGAACTTGATATATTATCTTATTGTAGGTTAGACTCAAGGCTATGAATCATTTTCTCCCCTCCTTTCTGTGCCAACAAGGAAAAGTTTTTCAACCAGATAACTGATAACCCCATCAGTATAACTTATTTACTCTTTTTTTTCTTATAGGAAGTGCCTAACATTAGATCATTGTAGATCCTATGCTGCATTTTCTCTTCAATGGGAAATAGAAGTGGGCTACATAATGTGATATATGGAGCAACTGCAGCTGCCTGAGGACTGAGAAACAATACCTAAGCTATATTGAGGATTTCAGAGTTCTTACTGATACCATGTATTTTTAAATGTTTTTATTAACCTGCAATTTTAATAAAGTTAGATACTTCCCTTAGAGTCATTCTGAGAATTTTTAATTAGAATCAAATTCAATAAATACTTTTTATTCAGCTAATGGGAATTTATGCTCATGTGTGCTTATTTGCTTAGGCATTTGTTTGTCTTGATTTCCTTGTCTGTATAATATGGGCATAATAGTAGCTACTTGTGTTATTAAAGTTAACTCCCCGGCTTAACTTAATGAGACAGACTTAGGCTCTAGGATCACGCCTGGAGCTGGTTTTAGATGTTTACCTACTGGATTGTAACTTGAAGTTAGTAGTGATCTCTATTTCCTAGATTTGCTGCAGGTGTAGGAAATGGTTTTATTCTCTTTTGAATGTCTTTTGGAGAAATGCAAGAAGATATTCAGGTTTAGGCAATTGTCATTCTCCTAGAATCTGAAAGTCCATGTTTTCTTAAAATATATGTAAAACTTTATAGTGAACAGCATAAAAATTTAAATATAAAACAATATAGAATAGTCTCAATGTCATCAGAGATAAATCACATAGTAAAATATGAACAATAGCTTTGGCATAGTTAATATACTGTATCAAGTGCTTCGGATTTTTCACAAGTGTTGAGCATATACATATGCTCTTCTGAATAGCTACAACAGTCTCTTCTTGCAAACTCAGTATTCCTTATTAAACAAGAAAAAAACTGATTTGGATCCTCTTTTCTCCTAATCAGAAAAAAGATTCATTTTAAAGAGTTAGATGGAAAACAAACTTCATTTCATCCCAAACTTTCTCATTTCTGTTCTCAATCCCAAGCCATCTATTTTCCCCACAGTCACATAATGAGATTTCTAAGCTTGTGGAAGCTAAATTGGCTGGAGGGGAGGGTGCTTGTGGGTACAATTGTAGGGCAGGACATAGGTTAGTGTCTGCCATCATTAACCTACATGGTGATCATACTGATTTACATATTACTGAACTCATATTTTATATCAAACCATAACTTTTCCAGCCCATTTGTGTGCCAAGGACATTTTCCACGTAAGAAAATATACCCTCAATGTTAAATAGCTATTCATCAGTCTTTTTTATTTAAAATATATTGATACTTTGGTTAGGAAGGCACAGCAATGAGAAATACAGCAACGTAAAACTTATTTGGTCAAGCATAAAACATAATTTTGTAGCTTATCAGTTAAGCACTTCAGTTATCCCAAAACTTACAGGCTTAAATCCATAATTATAATTCTGTAGGCTGGCTGGGCTTGTCTCCTGCTGGTTCCACTCAGGCTCTGAACAGCTGCATCCAGCTGGAGGATGGGTTGGAATGGAAGGTCCAAGGTGGCCTCACGTGTCAGACAACTGGTGTAGGGGACTGACATATTTTCCTAGTTTAAGAATTAAAGTTAGTAATGTACGTGTTCTGCCCAGAGTGAAAGTAATCTGTTCTGGACAAGGTCCTTGTCATAAACAAGGCTGTTGCCTAGAGGCATAACAAACGAACTGAGTTGCAAGTAAGCAAGAGCTACCCCACCCCACGGCACTGGGGGTCTGGAGGCCACACGATAAACACATTGTTCCTGTGATTGCTGCATACACCCCATAAGATGGCTGGTTAGTCAATGACAGGTAAGACCCCTTAAGGGAGGGGCCACCTAAGCCATGCACAGTCACCGGGGTTCAGCCGAGGATCTTAGGAGGTCACCCTAAGAGAAGCTGGCGATGAGAAATGCCTCCTGTGGCTCACCTTGCCCATCCTTGCTAATCTCAGTCCTTTATACTATGCTGAGTGCCTAGAGCAACCACCTTGAAATTCTGAGTAAGGGAATATCTGCTTCCATAAGGCTACGCATTCCGGAATTTACGACTATTGCTGGCACGCCTGGGTGGTTATGTACAAGGAACTAACTTTAATCTTTTAGAGTATAAAAATAAAACTGACATGGTGTATCATTACTTGAGTCAACCGTCTGTGTGTCTGCATTTTTCTTTGTGTTCTGTGTTTGTGTTTTATGTTCTGTGTTCATCCTCCATCCTGTAAATGGGTCACAGCAGCTGGTACTAGGCCCTCTGTTCTCCTGAACTTACCCTATCATTCTCCCATTAGCTCAATGGACTTCATTACATAGAATTCTCAGGACAGCCTTCTGAGTGGGTGAAGGTAGAAGCCAGGAGACTCAGTGAAGCCTCTTTGCTACAACTCATAAATCATTGCCACTATATTCTATTAGCCAAAGCAAGCCCCAAGGCCAGCTCAGATTCCAGTGAGTGGGGAAATAGACTTCACCTCTGCATGAGAGTGGCAAAGTCCCTTTGCAAAGAGATTTGCATACTGGTATGGGAAGAAGGCGGTTAATAAGCAACTGCATGGGAAAAAAGACCTGGGGATTATAATACCACTGTAAAATTTTCAATTTGTTGATGAGCATTTTAAAAGTTATGTGTGTTAATGTGTTTTATGTATTCTATTTAAACATCTAAAATATTGTGTCAGTTTTAAGCAAAATTTGTTAACATTTGAGATAAAAATATCAGGAAGACCCTTGTCATAGCAGATCTTCAGTTAGCCTTGTATTTGCTAATTTAAAAGTGAAATACATATTTAAATGACCTTCAGAACACTTGTATGTAATTCTCTGTGACAAAGACATTTACTGGCCATAATATATGCAAATGATCTATCCCTTTCCAGGTATGCAGGCTAAATGCTATCACTGGCCAATAAGCTGTGAGTTGACGTGCTTTGAGGCACTTCCTGGCTGAAGCATAAGGGAATGAGTGTAGGAAAGTAGAGCCTTCATTTGACTGGGGCCCTTGCTCTCTTGTACTGATATGTGCTGTGAACAAGAAACAAACACTCCTTATATAAAGCCACTGAAATATGGGGTTTAAAATTTCCTGTGGGTAAACTAGCCTGTCCAGGCTAACATATTAACATCTCTTTAATAAATAATCCTTAGGCACCTAAAACAGAGGATTACTAAAGTTGCTTCAAATTTGTAAGGACATACAGGATTTATAATCTCACAAAAGATTACTCATTATATAGAAGTAATTGGGGTTTCATAAGTACAGGGAAAGCTGTGGCTTTGGAGAGAAAAATGAAAGTTTTTAAGATTGATTTGACAAATGAGTAGATATATAGTTCACAGAATTTAGTACCATTTTCTATCCTTGGGTAGCTGTAGAAAGTTGGTGGTTTAGGTGGGCCAGATTCATATATACATACATATACATATATATATATATATACACATGTATATACATATATATAGGGGGGTTATATTTAGAATGAGATTATTGTCTAGCATCTAGATTTTTTTGGAAACACTTAAAATATCAGGATAGGGAATACTGCATAAATGAGTAGAACACATAGTAGACATAGTGATCAATTTATGTAGTACTGTTTAAATTTAAGTAATATTTAATAACCTGGCTGTGAAGTATAATCCAGTTGTTAACATTCCTTAAAATATAAAGTCATGGTATTCAGGAAAATCTTGAAACTTAAATTATAGATGATTTAAACCAAACACTTAGGGTAGAAAGATGGAGAGGGAATAAAGTATATTAAATGCCTTGCTGTGAAAATATATACCGTAAAGTCTGCAATGGAGAGGTGGTCATGGTTGCTGTTTTATAGAGGGTGGCAAGGTGATAAGAAAGGGTTCTTTGGGTGACCCTGGAATAGAGAACCAAGGGAAGTGAGTTAATGACAGTAAAATGTTGAAGAGCGTTCTAGGTAGAAAGAATGGTAAGGCCAAAGGTTTTTAGTTGAAAACATTTGGGGGGTGCTTTAGGAACTGTAAAGAGACTAGAGGTAGGTGAGTGTGTGTATGTGTGTTGGAAGAGGATTGTAGCAAATGAAGTGGAAGAGGTTAGTGCAAGGGTAGATTATGAAGAGTTCAGTAGACCACTGTAAGATTGTTAGGTTTTACTCCAAGTTGGGAAATTACTAAAGAGATTTGAATCAGGGAGTGACATAATATAATTTATTTTTCAGAAGAATCTCTCTGATTCCTGTGTCAGGGACTAGACTGTAGGGAAATAAAAGTTCATGCAGGAAAATCAAATAGGAGGTAAGAAATTGCTTTTTTTCCCTCTTTGCAATAATAACCTAAAGATTTATAGGTTTAGCATTTTGTTGTTTTTGTTTTTTTCTTTAGCTATTGTTTCAGGGGAAGTTGACTGGCAAATTCTCTTACATTTCTTCAACTGAGAATGTCTTAATTTCCCTTCATTCCTTAGAATATTTTCTGCTGGATATAGATTTCTGGCTTGACTTCCTTTCTTTCGGCAGCTAGAACGTTTTGTGTCTCTTACTTCTGACCTTCACGGTTTCTGATGAGAAATTCACTGTCATTCAAATTACTTTTAACCCATAACAAGGTGTTGTTTCTCTCTGGCTGCTTTCTTGAAAACCTGAGGATGTAGAAGATTGGGAGTAGAGAGCTTCTACACTGGCAGTACCCAACCAACATTTTCAAAGGCTCCTGGGAACTGGCTAAGTTCATAGCTTTCTTTGTTGCCAACAATATTTTTCACGTCAATTCTTCACAAATTATTACTTATGAGAAATCATTCATTAGATTTTAGTTAATGCTTTTCTACCTACTATGGGTTCCAGTAATAAACAAGTGTAGATTTGACTTTGGGATTGTCTAAAGAAAAATATACCCAGTCCCTGCCCTGAGAACACTGTCAATCTATTATGGGGGCTTCTCTATTTCTGGCTTATCATATACTTCATAGGTCCTCAATATTTGAATAGACACTAGAAAGACAAAACTCATTACATTGTCTGAATTGGTCTAAAAATGGGAGGTATTTTCAATCTACCTTTTTTTGTCTATAGCTATTCTTTTGCCATTTTCTGTGAGACAATTTTTCAAATAGTTCTGCACTGAGATTTTTATTTTAGTGCCTTTTAGCCAATGTAGCAGAGGCTACAAATGT